TAGACAAAGCAAAGGGAAATTTGCCAAATAGCATAATTTGCTGTTTCTTAGCCTGAATTTCAATTGCAGTTGTTAGCTTGGTACTAATGGTATTGTGCAAGCTCTTTTATTTATTTATTTAAAATATTTGTATGCCATTCTCCACTATCACGTCTCAGGGCAACTTACATGATTAAAAACAAAACCATAAAACAATCTGACCATATTGATAGGATTTCTTCCTGCTTAACTGACCTGAGTTGCTTGACACAACAGCCCACATGGGTATCCATTTTTGTCTCATATAAACCCAATGTAGGTTCTGCAGGATGGTTTATTTTTCATATCTAAGCCACTCTGTCAACCCATGACTTGTTCTAAGGGTTGTTCAACCCATGATGGGCTTTTGTATCATCTCAACAGGGTGTTTTTATCATGGGTTGTTGGGGATAGTTACAGAGCTGCTTCATACGCATGACAAGAAACCATGCTTGTGAAGCAGCTTTTATAATCTACCCAGTGACTGCCCTCACAACAATGCCAAAACAGCATTTGAAAAGTGTGCCACTGGGTTGTTATATTTTTTCTCAACCACTGAAAGTTGCGCTTTTAAAAATTACATATATTTTCTGTTCCTCAAAAATGTTCACTTACGGCTACCCAATATAAAGTGACACCTCATGTAGTCTAATTTATGTATATTTGCCAAATACCACTTGCCTAGTTGTCAATAGCAAAGCACCGCTAAAGGGCACAAATGTCGGAAAAAAGGTGCACCCAAATGGAGTGGGGACATTATTATTACATTGGTCTTGTAACACTTTTGATTTTATTGAGAATTGTGCCCTCTTCCTTTTCAACAGTTCCTTGAGTCAGCAGCTCATCCAGAAAGATGAGATATTATCCCACTCCCCCACTGCTCCCCACACCTTTCTTGGCTTCATACTGCTGTGGTTACTGCAGTTCCATAACAGTTCCTAAAAACTAAACTAAATAAAATACAGAAATAATTCACAAATTTAAGGGCTGGCAAGTAAAAGGAAGGAAAATGTGCACACCTGTAGTAACATAGCAGTTAATGCAAGTATGCAGATTTTCACTTCCTTTCCAGGCATTAATTTTGTTCAAATTTCCTCTTTATTTGCTTTGCAGTCATTACATTTCTATATATTTTCACATTAGATTTCTAAACATTTTTGATGCTCCAATTAAAAAAAGCAGTGAACAAAAAGAGGTAGAGGAACCAAGATGGGTTCTGCTGCAAAGGACCCTGGGATACTGTTTGGAGGACTGAGGAGACAGGAGGGTGCCAGGATCTGAGGCAGCTTCAGGGCTCCATCTGCTGGCCAAGAACTAATCCTTAGTAGTTGCAGGATTATGTTCTCATTCTACTGCAACTGCCAGGGCCGTAATGAATACCACCTGGGAGTCCAGGGTAAGCGCTATATAAGAACTGGCTCTTCCCTCCAGAAGCTGCCTTGTCAATGAAAGTTTTCAGACTTGATGCAGTGCTCCTTGTTTATTGGGACCTGAACTCTTGGACCTTGCCTGATTTCCTAGTCTCTGCTTGCTCCTACTCCTGCTATCAGGGATCTGCACCTGTCTGTATTGCTTCCTTGGTTTCTTAATCCCTGGATTGCTTGACTACACTTTTGTCTCTTGGAAGGGACTTACCTTGCTCTCCTACTCTTGGCACTGACCTTGGACTGTAGGATAAGATTTGGTTTGGACCTTAGACTCTAGCCAAGTTGCCTGGGTTCTGGTGCCTGTGTCAGTCAGCTGCCCATGCCCTGCATGCTGACAAAGGGAGAGAAAAAGCTAGTATTTCATAATAGTGTTAATCTCTGCAAAACTGAAGTGCCAATATGATCACAGTGAAATGTCTAAAAAACCCTATTTTTTAAATTATCTGTATATTTGTTGATTGATACTTTAACCTGAAGTACTCTAATCTGGAAATAAATTAGGAGTGTGCATGGGAAGAAAAAATGTTTCTTTTATTTTTATATGGCCATTGCTTGAATTGTGTGCATCTTTTTCTTTTTTGTTGGTTGGTTGGCTTTTATTGATTTTAATGGAGTTCAAGCTTCTCTTCTGTTATTTGTCTGCTTGTAACTTTTGTGTTTCCCTCCAATGGAGAGAAATTATCAGGTGTTTACTACCCTCCCACCTGAGCATCAAATTTACGAGATTTCAAACATACTGGACAAAGACTTCCTGTTCTAGAGGTAATTCAAAAGAAGCATGGGCACAATTGTTTTCAACTAGATGCAGTTTGTCATTTTGTCCAAACTGCAGCAAATTGCAATTTGCTAGTTTAGCTATGATTTTTCCAAGCAAACTAACTTCAAAATATGATTTCTGAAACAAGCCAGTTTCATCTTTTATAAGCCTGGCTACATTCAAGAAAACAAAATTCAAACAATTCACATTTCCCAGTTCAGACAAAACAACAAACTGCAAGCAGCTGAAAAGAAAACATGGATACTTGAAAACTTCTTATAACTATAGAGAAAGGAAAAGGAGCAAGTGCATGCATGTAATACTAAACTATGGATTAGCATTCTGTCTAAACTAGGCCAGTCTTTTCCCCCTCTCTGTAACTTTCCACCACTTTTATAAATATTTTGATTTGACCTTTCCATTCAGTTTGCCTGTTTCACAATTCTGTTTCTTCCCTTCCAAATACTTTTTTGAGAAATGTACACAAAGATTTAAGAATGTATCTAATGTAAAACAAGGCTTCTAGTGGAAAACTAATGTGAAAAACAAATTCTCATGTTGTATTTTCACATTGTTGGGATTTTCATATTTGTTTTAATGTAAACCTAATATTTGAACTTCTCTTGTATTTTCTGTTCCTTTAAAAACAAACACTTCTCTCTAATGATTCCCATGCAGCTTACTTCCTGTCTGAATTTTTGGCATAGGTGAAGCTGAGATGTGTTTCATTGTATAATGCTACTAGTATTGCCGTTGCCATTGTTTGCTATGTGTACAACAATCTCTATCAGTGGTCTTTTCAACATCTCACTGAAGAGAGCACATTACCAAGAAATTTGGAGAACTCTTGTGCTGTTATTAAAACTGATTGGTGGCAATTTTGAAGTAGTGATTCTTTAGAAACATATGTGCCTCAGATTAATTGAACAAAAAAATTAACCTGACAATATTTATCAATGAAGAATAGCTTAGTGCAGTGGTGATGAACCTATGGCATGCGTGCCACACTGGACAAACAGAGCCCTCTTTGTTGTCATGCAAGCCAGGTCGCCCCAGCAGCTGAGCATTGGATAGCAGCGCACATAGGGGCCATGCTCATGTTCGGAAAGGAGTAGTGGTGCCACGTAATGACGTCAGAAGCCGCAACACATTAGCCGCAACATGTCCAAGCTTTTGCATGGCTGGTCAGTGCGCTGCCGACTGGCTGTGAGTTGTTTTTTCTAAATTAAAAACTCAGTTTTCGAGTGTTTTTGAAGTGTTGGCACACTGCGATAAATAAGTGGGTTTCAGGTTACAGTTTGGCCACTCAGTTTCTAAAAGATTCACCAACACTGGGTTAGGGTTGGAAAAACAAGGTGTCCTGGCCTGATTTTGATGGTTGGAAAGTGTTTAGAATGGGCAGAAATGATGAGCTGTGCAGAAAAAGCTACTCAAGAAATGCATTTTCAAAATTGCATTATTTTCAATGGAACTTTAGCCCTGTATAGGGTGAGGAGTGTGCACCAGGGTATAGTTAGGGCAGTGGCGGCGAACCTATTGCACACGTGCCACAGCTGGCATGCAGATCCCTCTCTTTTAGCATGCGAGCCAATTCACCCCAGCAGTACCCCAGCAGCCAAGCATAGAATAACCCTGCACATAGGGGCCATGCGCATGTTCGGAAAGGAGTAGCAGCTCCAGGCAATTATGTCATGAGCCGCAACTCATCAGCCTTGACTCATTTGAGCTTTCACATAGCTGGTCAGTGCGCTGTCATGGATATATTTGCTTGGACTGAGTTATTTTTTCTAACCTAAAACCTCAGTCTTCAGGTTTTATTGTAGTGTTGGCACTTCGTGATAAATAAGTGGGTTTTGGGTTGCAGTTTGGGCACTCGGTCTCTAAAAGGTTTGCCATCACTGGTTTAGTGTGTGAAATGTGATGGAAAACTAGAATGTCAATCATTGCAGTGATGGGATATATAGATATTTAATATAGATATGTCCATGAGATAAGCCTATATAATCAACTTGTTAATCATAACATTTACAATTCTAGCAATTATTCTTGGAATTGTGTCATCATTTTAAGTATAATGACTTTCTGATCAGTAGTGCATATAATTAATGCATAATTGCATGGAATTTGTTTTCACAGTGACACCTTGCCTTTGTTTAAGGTTCTATATCATAACAGTTGAGTGCAAGGAAAACACAAATTGGTCTCCCAATGTAATATGCTAGAGCTCAGTATAACATTTTTTACTAGATCAATGTTATCTTTAACCAAGCAATCTTATCTTTCCCTATGCAGGCCACATAAAAGTGCCCGTATCTGGAATATATTTTGAGACCTGTGAGACATTGGTCATCTACTGAAAGTTACTTTTCATTATATACTACTGTCCAGTTGTGAAATTTTTGATTTTTTGTTTCTGGCTTAGTTATTGTTAAATAGTTCTTTCTTTTAACTAAACAAAAATAAACCCATTACACAGTAAAGCTGGTTTATAGCCCCTTGGTGGCTAAGAAACACTGACATTCCATTAAGTATAATCTCCGTTTTAAACCTCATTGTTACACCCACTGTCTTCTTTGAAGAGATCATTTCAAAAGCCTCAGTATTTCTGCAGAGCATAGCACTAGAAAGAACTGTTTTGCACAATGATTTGTGGGGAAAAGGAATCCTGTAGAACAAGTTAAACATTTCTTTAAAAATCTTGTAGCAGTTGAAACCTCTGTTCATTATAGTTTCCTGCATCATACAATATTATAGTATATGCCACGTTTCTTTAACAGTATTTTACCACTGTTTTTCAGGTTTTACATGGCAAGATGATTATACACAGCATGTTATTGCCCGTGAACTCTCAAATCTCCCTAAGATCCATGACTGGCACTCTGAGACATTCTCATCAAATGATTTAGATTCACCAAGGTAAATTCACATGCATCTTCTATACCGGGGTGGCCAAGCCAAGGCTTGAGAGAATTGCAAGCTGCTTTTTGGTTTTGTTTGCAGCTCACCATACATGGGCACCTGTTGCCCACTTGCAGCTCTCAGACATCTGGCATTTACTGTATGTGGCCCCTCCATTGGGCAAGTCTGGCCATCCCTGTTCTATATCATAATGTTTATGATGAATTATGGAAGATAATATTCAAAAAAATAAAATACACATATCCTGAGGTCTGTTATTCACTGGATCATGAAAAATGAGCACTGTGAATTCCACTGACAACTGATTAGAAAACTGTTCTTTTTCTTTAAACCAATATTTTTCAACTGCATATTATAGACATCTTATTTCTTTTCTTGCCAGTAGTGCCTTCCTTTTGTATTAGATTCTGTCATTTGGGAACTATTCATTCATTTTACTTGTACAAAAATGCACAAACCACCTTTCTCTCAAAATGGCTTTGGAAGGCTTCCTTCCTTCCTTCCTTCCTTCCTTCCTTCCTTCCTTCCTTCCTTCCTTCAAGTAAGGACGACTTACATACCACCTTTAGTGGGTGGTTAGGGAACAGTGCAAAGGGATGGGGTCATACTAGAGATGGCCCTGTGGCATGCTATAACTGATTAAACTGAGTAAAAATGGAGTCTGGAACAGATGTTCCTCTGCAGATTTCACAGTGGTAGGAAGGCATATATAGGGGTAATGCCGATCAATAACTTGAGCCCAAGTGGTACCACTTTGAGTTTCACTGTTCTTTGGTACTGATAACTCTGCATTCAGAGCCATAAGTGCCTATTGGTTCTGCATTTCAGAATTCCACTGCTCTTTTATTCATCTCCCAAACGGTCCCATTGGATTAAAAAACCCCATTTTAATATTAAAGAAAAAGTTGAAGTTGTGGCATTTTTTCTAAAATACAACATTCTCCTACTTTTTTGTGCTCATTTTACCCCACAAAAATATTACTTATATGAAGCTAGGTGGTATACAATATGAAACTGAAGGTATTGGTTAATATTCAGAATGATCACTTATTTTGTTATGTAGGTAACATTTATTCTCTTGTTTTTGACATGCAGGACTTCAAAACAGAATTCTGACAGCAACAGGAATTTAGTCCTGGGAAGAGACATGAACTTCATTAAGTCTCCTCAGCAATACCTTGCCTACCTGGATTTTCTATCCCAGTCCCCAACTCCAGATTTGTATTCAAGGATAAAGGGTAATAAAGCCTCTCTTAAGGTAAAGTTCTTTTTAATGGATATATCTTTATGCCATGCTGTTAGATTTTGCTATTTGTGGAAAGCTGTAAATAAGGTCAAGTAAAAATAGCTTCTAAAGTAGTGGAGGCTTTAGTCAGGGCTCCATACCATCACTGTGCCCTTCAGTTATCACTCAGGGTTGGAATTTGGCATTTAACATCTTAGTATTAAGGGCAAGAGTCCCTGACTGAAATCTCAGGTAAGGTTTGAACTAACTGGATAGCTTTAGGTAAGACACACTCTCTGTGTTTCATTCCTTTCAATACTAATTCGTAACTCATACTACTATCTTACTTTTATTTACTTATTTATTCAGATGATCTATATCTTGTTATTTGATCATACAACAGACTGCAAATAATGCATGTCTCCATACAGTGCAGCAGCTCTTAGTTCCATGGTTTCTGGCAGAGGCTAGAGTAACCTTCCCTTCAGCTCAGTGGTCCCAGGGCAGCTGGTAGTTGGAACAATATATTCTCTCAAGCAGGAAGTAGTAGGGGGAAGCAACTACAATTGCTACAAATGCTACAGTGTTCCCAAACATGAGTGCATACATGAGTGAGAGAGAAGCAGTGAGCTGATATTTGGAGAATCTTCATGAAATTAAACATTGGTCATTCTCCCATGCTTAGCTTAGGTTGGTCTCCCACTTGTGATATTCTTCCTGTTAGACAGTGGGTAAAATATCCCAGTAGTTGTTAGTCCTCCAGTCAATGGCTGAGGGGAGGGCGTATTTCCCTTCTGTTTTGATATATAGTTTATATTTATTCATTTATGTATTGAATTTGTATTAAAGCTGCCTATTAGCATCATGCTCTCAAACTGTAGCTGTTGTGAGGCTTAATGAAAAAAACATATGACAAGCTTCCACCTATTGGGCAAAAAATTAACCACATGGTTATATGTGATGTGAGTGTTAGAATTTTGAGGAAGGGGGGCATCAAAACCATGGATCCATTGTTTCCATCAGATTTGTTGCAGTTAGTAAGTGTTTTAAGATAGCTTTTATTGATGAGGATTGTCTTAGTTGCATTCACTGGCAGTCTTTCACCCAACATCAATGTGAAACCTACCATTAGTTGCAAAAAGGGTAATTTTTGACCCCAGAACAAAATGTCTCAGACAAGGCCAATTCTGCATATATACTGGGTCTTGTCTGAATGTTTCCCCAGGAGGTTTGAATGAGCATGAGAAGAGATTTCAGGTTTCAGCTAGCAGAGGTAATTTAAGAATTAATCTTTCCTGAAGCTATGTATAACAATAAAATCTGCATGACAGTGCTTTGCCTGATGTCCTTGGACCCGCTATAAGAATAGTTTGGCTTACAAACTTTCACCAACTTAAAAAAAACCTTTCCTTCAATGGATTTTAATTCTGCTTGTTGGTGGTTTTAAACTCTTGGCTTTCAAAAGAGACTAAGATGACCCATCATTAAGTGCCTTCTGTGCCTTTTTTGAGGAATTAAGGAGCCCTACAGAACTATTCCTATGCAATGTCAGAACACTTTGTTACCCCAGACATCTTTTGGTTTATAGAAAAGGTAAACGGTGAGAAGGTAAACTGAAATTTGGGGACAGTTTTTGCTAGACAGATTTTGACAATGTTTCAGAAAGTCTTAAACTGTAGGTCTACTTATGTGCAAATGACATGAAAGAATGTGAGCTGAGGGAGGTTACTTATCCCAGCCTGTGTGATGATGCTAACCATAACACAAAAGGGATTAGCTGTTCACAAGCAATAACTGAACAGTATCTCTCATGAACAAATTGATTTTCTCTGTGAGAAACTGTTCTCATTCTCATCAATATCTGAAGAAAGGATATATACTAGCCTAGTGCTGCCAGCTCCTTTTTAGACAGTTCTCCTTGTTGCTTTATTTGTTTGTTTGTTTGTTTATTTAGGAAGCTTCTATGCCGCCCCATTCACCGAAGCTTCGGGGAGGCTCACAATAATAAATAAACACAATATAAAAACAATATAATTTAAATAAATAATTAAAATTAACAATCAAAATAAAATTATCTCCAATATGCTGCCCTGTCTAAGCTTCTATGTTTTTGCACTCCCAGTAGTTGAACCAATGTGAGGCTCACAAACTACCATATTTTTCATTCTATAAGACGTACCTGACCATAAGACGCACCTAGTTTTTAGAGAAGGAAAACAAGAAAAAAAAATTCTGAATCAAATGGTTTACTAAACTATTTAACAAACTATAACAGAATACAGTAATACTGTATTTCAACCTTGTAAAGTGAACAGCAGTCAACAGTGACATTAAGAACTATCATCACTGTCATTAACAAAAGAGAGACTTTAAAGTTCGAGTACTCTTCTAGTTTTTGTTGAGAACTCATCATCACTAGAGTCAGAATTCATGAAGCTCTGTTGCTCACAATCACTGACATCACTTTCTTAGTCAGTAGTGGAATTATTGAAGGAATCCACAATCTACACCAGTTATACAAGAGCTGCTGCAGACAATTCAATAACAAATCTAAAAAAGCCAGTAATGTCCATGCTGCCCTACTAGTAAATAATAGAAAAAAATTTCTGACAAAAAATGAGATATTGTACGGTAAATCAAACACACAGCGGACTAAGTAGCCTTTGAAGAATAAACTTCATACATGAAGGTAATGCTGTTCAAATATCCACTGATCCTAAAAAAAAAATGTGTCTGATCAACTCACAGATAACTGATCCATGGAAAGCTTCCTGATAATCACAGGCACATTCCCCATCACTTCCCCATGGGCTTCATTAAAAGACGGGTTGCCATTTGAAAACACACACCGACCTGTGATTAACAGCTCTCACCTGCGCCGGAGGAGGGGGGCGGAGCAGGGCACGCCGAGCGCGTGCCGGCCAGGTGGTGCCATGTGGGGCCGGCAGCGTACCGGCAGTGGTCTTCCGGGCGGCGTGGCGGCAGGTCTTCCCAGGCGGTGGGGGTGAGCAGTTCCCGGGCAGTGGGGTTGAGCAGTCCGTCTCTCTGTGCGGCCGGCGGGTTAAAGCCCATGGCTCCTCCTCCTCTGCACCTTTCCCTCTGAGCGGTGCAGCTCTCACCTGCACCGGGGGGGGGGGCGGAGCAGGGTGCATGAGCGCTTGCCAGCCAGGTGGTGCCACGTAGTGCAGGCGGCCGACAGCATCCCGGGCGTCGGGCACACACACATTCACTCTATAAGACGCACAGACTTTTCCCCTTACTTTTTGAGGGGGGGGGGAGTGCGTCTTATAGAGTGAAAAATACAGTAATTCCAGGCTAGGGTTAATGAGAGGAGGCTGGAAAGCATCTGTTCTTTGGATGTAGGGGCTCATGTGAGAGTCATCCTACATAGGCTGAGATTCTTTGTCCCGTGTGGGCATTACTCTTGACTCACAAGTATGCCTTTTCCTGGTCTTTCCCAAGTAACTTGCTCTGTTCTCCATTTTCCTTTCTCTTCTGTTTGTGCATTGCTTTCATTTCATCTCTGCTTTTTCCTTCAAGGTGCTCTCTCACCTCCCCTAGCCATGCCCTTCCTTGCTCTCTTCTTGTCTTTTCACTGTCTTCCCTTTTCTCCTCACTCCCCTTTTCTGCTTCCTCACTTCAGGTGTTGTTCAGTTTGGCTGACTGAAACTGAACATTGGGTGGTATCAGTTTGAACCATTGCTTGCTATCCTTGGCTGAGCTGTTTTTGCTGTTTACAGTGGCCATTAACCTCAGAAGTGTTCAGGGAAAACCAGAGCTGCCATGAGTGACTTTCTGGGTACTTGGTAAGAGGTAGCAAGCCCCACTAATGTCTCTCAGCAGCCTATACATTTCCAGAGAGGAAAAGAGGAAAGTTCACATAGGTAAGTGGGAATGAACAGGGAAAGGTAGCTTGCTGCCATACAAACTATTGCGATCGGGGTTGACAAGGTACAGAGCTGGGTAGGATGAGTAAAGAGACCAGCTGGGGCACAGTTGACTCGAATCAAGTTAGTACTGAAATAGTTACTGATTCCTATTTATAAATAAATGTTTTTCTTACTCATTCTGCAATAATGAGATAAAATTTTCTAATGTACAATTGATCTACAATAATTAGGGCTAGATTTATTTACAACCGAATGATTTGTTTTTGTTTTGGATAGATGAAATACTCTTAGATATTTGTAGAAGTCAGCAGTAATTCAGAATTTATGGGACAAATCAACAGGTATGTCTGCTGTTGTGAAAGAAGCTTACAGAAATGTCAGAGTAGCTGTAGGAATTAATTAATAGTGCCATTTGCCTCTGGTGTTTTTTGCTAAGCTCTTTTTTTTTGTAACTCAGGTTTTCAGTAGTGAGGCATTGACTGAGGATGTCATTCTTTGAAGCTACTGGAAAGTGAGAATTTGTCCAAGAGGTATTTCAGTGATGCTGTGGATGTCACATGAATTCATAAATAATCTATGCGATGGAGCTCTTTCAGTGAGAAGAGTGCTGTGAAAAACGCCACTCACCAGCATTATTGTATGTTGCTGTGAAGACAGTCTCTAAGAACTGTTGAGGTTAAAGAATAAAGAGGGGAAATACAAGAATAAATTCGTATAAAAGCATATTGTGGTTCTTTAATTGAAGAACTTTCAATATGCATGGATACTGTGTTAATATGTAGCAAGTTTGTAGTAGTAATGATCATCATCATCATCAAATAAAGAACAAGATAGGAAAAATATTCTAGAAGTTAATCACTGACACAGTGATGCTAAGATAAATATAGATCTTTAATAAGTAAAAACAGCAACAACAACTCAGCAACACACCACATTTAGATCATACTGTATTTAAATTCTGAATCTTCACTTTGTTGTAGGAGTACTTTTGAATAAAACAACGTATTTGAGACAACTGGCTCACCATACTATTTCCCAGGGCTTTAAACCTGTGAAACTGTAAGAACATTACCTGACCATTTTGCAACATAAAAACAGCTCTGTTTTTCACACTAATTTCAAATGGATTATTAGCAGGCATTT